ACAATTATTGATAATGCAAGATTATCGAAATCTTATATTACTTGACAACCAAACATGGTAATCAAGTAATATAAGATAACATAACCCCAGTAATCTTTTATTACCTCTAATCAAACATCTCCTTAATTGTAAGCATAATATTGTTCAAATTCTTTACTAACCCCCAAAGCCCAAGCCCGTTTACTTCTGTTAAATTTTTTTATGAAATGACTATTTGATCCTTGTGTAATTGTTTCTCATATAAGAATATTTTCCTAACTGATATAAAAATAATGGAATTCAGTCGGTTAAATACATGTAGCTATTTTTAATATTTCAATTAGAAATATATTCTTATATGAGAAACAATTACAAAAGGATCAAATAGTCATTTTCTCAAAAATTCTAACTGAAGTTAGATAGATGGATTTGTACTTTGAGGTGGAGAGTAATGAATTTTTTGGGGCAGATTAATTACAAGGGTAAATGACTTTTTCCCACCCAAATAATGACTTAATAATATTTTTTCACCTACAGACTTTTAAAATACCATTTTATTATCTAAATTTATATTCCGATTTCGATTCCAGCATCGTTGCGACCCCACACCACCATCATTCTCTTTCTCGATCATCATTTATCAAAACCCCTCAAACCCTACTGCCATCAATCCCGCTAATTGATAGAAATCGAGCGATTATGGTTTGCGTAGCTGCTCCTCTCAATTCAAATTCTGATAAATCTCAACTATCAAAATCCAACCTTCCACTACCAAAAGACTCATTGGTTTCTTCTCTTCAAAACCTTAGCAGCCTAGATAGAGTTTACTCTCTGTTAGTTGCCAGAATATAAATATAAATAGTAAAATAATATTTTAAAAGTCTGTGAGTGAAAAAGTGTTATTAAACTACTGTTTGAGTGGAAAAAAGTTGTTAACTCTAATTACAAAGATAGAACTCACTCCCTTAGTATTATTTTGAGAAAAGCAGGAGAGGTGAGGATTTTTGCCCCTTTTTAAAATATATAAAGATAAAAAGTTTAGTATAATGGAATCAAAGTACACATATTTTGATATTCAATTTAATTGAAGTAAAAATAATATTTTTCCCCCTAAAATATGGTGCTATGCATTCCCGTTACGTACTCTAAATTTTATGTTTTGTGTACTGAAAAGAGAGTACGACTTTTTTGCCACCCAAAGTTGTCTTAACACACTTTCCAATCTAAAAAGTTTTAAAATACCACTTTCTCACTTAAAGTTTATGTTTCATTAATATCCACAATACATTTCACTTTATCAATTGGCATTTGACGAGTTACCACGAGCCAAAATAAGAAGGTTTTGTGGAGTAGATACCGATCGATCAATGGTAGTTACCGATTGAATATTCACCTAAGAATTAGCGAAGAACAGGAAACTATAGTTTTACAATAACTGACAATCGGTGAGAAATTAGGTGTTAAAGTGAGAAGAGTTTTATAAAATAGAGATCGAAGGTTCAAATGGTGGTGATGAAGAGAATTTTCACAGGCAGAATTGATTTTGGATAGTAATAAAATATTAACTTTGGGTGAGAAAGTGATATTTTAAAATTTTTTGAGTTTAAAAAATGTCATTAAGGCAAACCTTGGGTGGGAAAAAGTCGTTAACTCACTCAAAAAATAGATTATTTAAATGTCAAACAAAGTGGAACATGATAATATTTGAAGGCTTAAATAAATATAGAATAGTAACAAGAAACCAAATCATCAAGGACTCCAGCAATATTGAACTACCCAACATGAAGACGAAAGTGATATATATAAATATGGTATTAATAGACACCACCCAAAGAAGCCGACTTACAGAAATCATAAAATTCTCAATCCAAGTCCAAACTACCTTAAACTCGCTGATTTTCTGAAATATCATGGGTGCCAAAAGTGTTCAAGAACTGAGCATGAATGGCCAAGAATTACCTCAAAACTATATCTACAAAGACAGTGATGGAGGAATCTTTGATGCTTCTCTACCGATCATGGAGATCCCAATTATTGATATTGCTCTCATCACCTCTCCATCATCCAGTAAAGAAGAACTTGAAAAGCTTCGTTCAGCTCTCAGTTTCTGGGGTTGTTTCCAGGTCTGGTTTTTTTAACTATGAATAATCTTTAAAGAAAGTATATCTCACTTGGTTCAATTTACTTTCTGCCACAGACATGATGTTGCATCGGCTGAGCCATTAAAATGTGTGAAGCTACACAATACTTACTCAAATATTTAAGCCATCTCATCCCAATCACAAAGATTTATATTATGAGCTCGGATATCCATCTCAGCTTCCCCTTTGCCTCTTGGTTTTTTGAATTAATATTTGAACTTTAAAAAATTTGAGGATGCTTTAAAATATAAGACATAAAGAAATTTGAAGCTATAAGAGATGAAACTAAGTAAATTAAAAGTTAAAACCCTATAAACACTGATTCGTCCAGAATTCATCTTTGTATTGATTAATGTTGATCTTGCATTAATTGCTTTTACTATTATACTTTGAGCATTTGAGTTGCAGGCAATGAATCATGGTATAGAAAAAACATTTCTGGACAAAGTGCGTGAAGTCACCAAGCAATTCTTTGCACTTCCACAAGAAAAGAAGCTAAAATACACCAGAGAAGATGGTGGAATTGAGGGATACGGAAATGATATGATTGTTTTGGAGAATCAAACACTTGATTGGACTGACCGATTATATCTTTCTGTAAGTCCAAAAGATCAGCGACAACTCAAATACTGGCCTGAAAACCCTGAAACTTTCAGGTAATTTAGTTGTTTATTCATAATGTATAAGCAAAGAATTTATCACTGCAACAAAAGAAAAACTGTCACAGGACGTTTGGTACATTCTGATTCTGTTTCTCTTTTAATAGAAATGAGCACTATTTTTGCTCACAAATTGAATGATGGATTATGCATGCTAACCTTGTTTGTTGTATTAATACAGGGAAATTCTACATCAATATACTGAGAAGACAGAAGTGATGATTGAAGTCATCTTTAAGGCCATGGCGAGGTCATTAAGTTTGGATGAAAACAAGCTTTTTGGATATGTACGGAGAACGAGCCACATTAGTTGCAAGATTCAACTTGTATCCTCCATGTCCAAGGCCTGATGCGACTCTCGGTCTGAAGCCTCATGCAGATGGATCAGCTCTCACCATTCTCCTGCAAGACAAAGAAGTAGAAGGCCTCCAATTCCTGAAAGACAATCAATGGTACAGAGTTCCAATCATTCCTGAAGCACTTGTTGTTAACGTCGGCGATCAGGCAGAGGTAATCAGGCTCATTGTATAAGATTGAGCTCTCTTTTATAAGAATTCTCAAAACATGATCATTGTGGTATTATTTTCTTGATTTAGTGTTTGTGGACTGCAAAATTTAAAGAATTTAAAGTCATTTAAGTTTTGGATGATGCACGCAGATAATGAGCAATGGAATTTTCAAGAGTCCTATGCACAGAGTGGTGACAAACAGAGAAAGAGAAAGAGAAAGAATTTCTTTGGCCATGTTCTTTACTCCGAATTCCGATAGAGAGATTGAAACTGTGAATGGATTGGTAGATGAGACAAGGCCAAGACTATACAAGAAGGTGAAAGATTATTGTAGCTTCTATTTTCAATATTACCAGCGAGGTTTAAGGCCAATTGAAGCAGCAATGATTTAGCTTTCTTTGAGTAGCCGGTTTGTTTGTATTGTGGGTTTGATTGGTGCTTGTACGCTTTGGTTTTCGGATTTCCGGTTCAAACTGATTAATTGGTTTTGAACACTCTAGTTTATACATTTTTGTTTCTAAATGGGCAAACATTAGTAGAGTTGCCAGTTCTATTATGGTATTGATTAAAGAAAATATATATTTGCTATTGAGTTTGTGTGGAAGAATTTGAGTTTCAGTTAAAAAATATATAATTTGTTATTGAGTTTATATGAGAGTTTGTTTTCAAACCATTTAATCTATCACCAATTTGTTAATTTAAGATACTTATGGTATGTTTGACACATGACATTATATAGCATTAAGCAAATTGCATTGTGTTCTATAATGCTATATAAAATGTTATCTCATATTTGATAAAATATGGAATTGTATTATTTTTATATTATGTTATGTTTGGTGTACATTGTATAGTATTGTTTTTGTTAATTTATTTATTAAAAAATAATATATTATCATTTAACTAATAAATTAAAAAAATTCCAAACTTGAAAGGCTAGTTATCAATTTTGGTCAGCGAAAGTTAAGATGATAGTCAAATATTGGTCAACACCGATCAAACCATTGCATATTTAATATTAAAATTAATTGATAATGTTTATTTATTTAAAATTAATACTAAGTAACATTGCATTCACCAATACAATGGTTTTAGTACAGCATTATTTAATGTAGAATAGATTGCATTATTTAACTTGGTATTATTTATACAATGGAGCTTCGTTACTAAACATTGTATTGTATTTGTATTATTTAGTGCTATATAGTTTAGCTTATACTATGCTATGTTGCTTGTAAATAATAAACTAAAAAGTTGAGAAAAAAAAAATTGTAAAATAACTAGCTTACCAAGGGTAAAATGGTCATTGCACAAGTTAATTTTAAATAAAAATCAATTATCACACTTAACACATGATCATAACAAAATTTAATGGCAAAATTATAATTCTACAAAGGGCCTTTTTATAACTTAACAGTAAATATGGTACAAAAGGCAAAGGGTAAAATGTTATTTGACTACCGTTTCCTCTGACTTCGTTATCCCTCGTGTGGCGGGATGATAAAAACCCCTAGACACTCATTAATTGTTTATTTCATAAAAAAAAAAAAAAAAAAAAAACTCAAATTTATAATTTATATGTAATAAGATAAGAGTACTAATAATTTATTCAGACAACAAAACGGCCAATAAACAGAGACCAAGTCTCAAAAGTAGGCTCCACATAATATTCAAATTAATTGAAGCCACAAACCAGGTGTTCCGTGGCCACCTCAACCACCTCAAGCCGTTAAACTTTTGCCTTGCCATTCCATGACTTCTCTCTTCTCAACTAAAACAAAGAAAACACTAAACACCACTCTCTACTTTCTGTATATTTCCTTGCCCTTCCTCTAAACTCACTCGAAACTCAAAGGAATGGCCAGACTTACACTCAGAGCAGACAACTTTTGTCTTCTTTCTAACAGTGCAAGCTCTCAGAGATTAATCCTTAACAATCCCACTTCATTCAACCGCCATAGTGTTCTTTCATTTCCTGCTAAACATGGTTTGAGGTTCAGAGTTTTATGTGGCATCAAAGAGAAGGAAAATGTAAGTGAAATTGGGGAGTTTGATGGAGTACTTACTGGTCTACGAGTGGATGAACTTGAGCGAGCGGGTTCGGTTTCAGAATCAGAGGGAGAATTAGGCCACACAAGCGGGTCTGGAGAAGTGGGTTTTGAGTCGAATTGGCCGCCGTGGAAGGATATTCCTCAGAGATATAAACTTATTGGAACTACTTCGCTTGCGTTTGTTATTTGTAACATGGATAAGGTAGTTCTTTGTTCACTTATTCTCGGGAATTTCTACGAACATGTTTTGTGGCATTTCTGCATAGCAAAATTTACAAACATATGTTAGCCTTCCACCTTTATAATTCAGTGCATATATTTGTTTGTCTTACTATTCTTATGCCTGACGTTAAAGGATCACACCATAACAAATGAAACCTCGTTTGCTTTTAGTGCTTGCTAAAAGTATCTGAAGGGCTCATTGTTATCTGAGCAATTAATTTTAACTGTTGTCATATTCATGATCATCATATAAACATTTATTTGATGTTCTTGCGAATAAGGTTTCCGTGGGATATGGGCACTTAAAAAAGAAGCAAATGCACTTGTTTTTGGGGTTATTAAAGGGTGAAGGACAGAAAGATTAATCCTATGATGTAAAACCGCACGTTAGAACAAGGGGTCTGGATATAAGTGTTGCTTGTTTGATACTTGGGTTTTGGTGTTTCATTTTGATTCCGTTCTTATTATTTTATTAACTTTTATAGGTGAACTTGAGCATTGCAATAATTCCAATGTCACACCAGTTTGGGTGGAATTCATCAATGGCTGGATTGGTTCAATCATCGTTCTTTTGGGGTTATGCATTGAGTCAGTTGCCTGGGGGTTGGCTTGCCAAGATATTTGGTGGGAGGTTTGTTTTTGATGACTTTGTTTACTTCTATTATGTTTTATTATCTATTCTTGCAATAAAAATAACTGTTTCTCATCGTACAATCATAAACTTTGTTGTCCTTTCTGAGAAAAGGAACAGAAATCAAGTCTTTATATGTCAAAGTTGAGGAATAGGTTTAATTAATAGTTTTCACATGTGCTCGGGTAGATGAACTGGTTTATATAGACATGGGCCATTCTAGGTTTTGGCATATTCAATGTTACATATTAAGAGATCAGAAATATTGAATGGGTTATATATCAATTTTACCAGTTAATCCCAATTTCAATCAAAATTACCAAAGTTCAATTCCATCAAGTACATCAACAAACATATCATCACAATATGCATTGATTTAACATAATCATCAATCATTTTCAGTGTGTATAATCATTTTCAGTGTGTATGAAATATATAAGTTTGAAAACAAATCAATAAGAAGTAAATCACGAAGGAACATGAAACTTTTTAGCATGGACAGCCATCACTAAGAAGAAACAAATCCATATGAGAAAGAAATCTACTATGAAAGTCAATAATAGTATAATCGACTTAGACATGAGTTCAATTACCTTGAACACACGTACTTTGCCCTCTCTAGGGAACTCTATTGGTGCTTTTTGATATCAAGTCCTTAAATGATTGTACCTCCACATTACATGCTTGATCTCCCAACAAGCCTATCAAGTGCAATCCTTGTTAATAAATGGTTTTATACAAGATTCCCATGAGTTTGGCCGCTTCTCACAATGTGTTTCTGACAAAAACACAAAATAGAATGGAAAAAATCTGGATTGAATAATCCTAGTTTCTAAAATGGGTTCCTCTGTAGAATAATTTATGTTGCTTTAATGAGTATGAAAATATAAAAAGTCATTTCAGAAATGATCTTGATGTGTCCCAAAAGCCCTCTTTCTCTCCATGCTGCTAAAGGTTTGTCTAATACTAATACTTGGGAAATATCAAACCTAAACTCTTTATGAATGACATCTCCTTTTAGAAGAAAAAATCTTAGGCTAGGGACTTAACTGTTTAGAGCACTTTTGATAAAAAGGTAATAATAATAATGGTAAAAAAACAAAAGAATCAACCTAAAATGGGAAAACTTTACCAAATTTGTTGCATCCTTGCTATGGCAATAGACTGATATAACAATTCTTGGCCGACAAAGTTTTTCTTGTTATGGTGAGCGGTATCCTTTCTATAGCTCGCTTTAAAGAAATAAATGCTGCATAAAAAAACTTTAATATAAATGGTTTTCATTCTATTCAATAACCTATTTTATTTAATGTAAATAAATAAATAACCATTATCCAGGCTCAACAAAACATCAGGAAAAAAACTGAAATTTTATCTAAACATATTTTTTCATTTCTTGTTCTAAATTCATTTTTTGGTTACAGAAAGGAAATTGTACTTTGCATTTTGACCAAGCAAAAGAAATCAGTTAGTTGTTACATGCTTTATGTCACATAAACCAAAAACAATTATAATCAAATGAGAAAAGACTGATAATTTTCTTTCGCTCACTTTGGTAATAGCAATCAGAGACTCCTTAAGTTATATTCTTCTTCTGCAGGAGAGTGCTTGAGATTGGAGTGCTGACTTGGTCCCTGGCTACAGCACTTGTACCTCTTCTTGCTGGATTTATGCCTGGATTAGTCCTGTCACGCATTTTGGTATGTTGGTCTTCAAATTGTATAATTGCAGTCCAACTTGAAGAAACATCTTTTACCTTTCGTCCATTTGCAAAGTTCCTATTTATGTGTAATAATTGTGATTATTCTTGTTTAATTGTAAATTTTCTTGCCAACCACCATGTTCATTCATGCATCCTGCAGGATAGTTTGATAAGTTCTCTTGCTTTCTCTCTCTGTCCCATAAAATCATCCAGCTCTGAGTCTCATGTCTTAAATGTTTATTAGTTTTCCTATATCATAACTGACTGTGTTCTTTTATATCTTTTAAAATCTAGGTTGGAATAGGAGAAGGTGTTTCCCCATCAGCTGCTACTGACCTTATAGCCAGGCATGTATGACTTACAAAGTACTTGAGGATCATGCTATTTGATTAACTATGTCACTGAATTTTAAAATTGTTGGACTCTGCCATTGAAATTTACCAAAAGCTTTCCTAGATTTTGCCATAAAGAAACAATTAAAGCAGCTTAAACAGTTTGCAATTAGGTCAAACCTCAATAGATGTCATTGCAATTTTTCCTTAAATAAACTCCGTCTGATTCCCATTTTTTTAATTGATCTCATAATATTGATAATCCTTTGGCTGTCAATATGGTATTATTTTGCTTATGGTTTGCTTTCTGCACCACTTGATTGGCTTTTGTCCAATG